AAAAAAAAAAAAAGAGAAAAAAGACTTCACTTGTGAATATTAAGAATGACAGGGCTGGTTAACGCTTTCCATAAACATCCAGTAGGTGCAAACTGCCTCTGAATTTTAATGTTGTAGGAGGCAGTTTCTGTCCCTTTTGTCAAGGAGGGAGAGAGAGAGAGAAGAGACAGCTAAATGAGGGAGATTTTTTTTCTCCCTCCGAGTGTCTGAAAAAGGTTAGCATTAGCTCAATTATTTACCCATCTCATTAGTCCAAGGTAAAGGGGTCTGACCTAACTGCCCTTCAGAGAGACAGACACACCAGAATAATAAAACCACTGCCTGAATCAACTTTGCATACTTCTTGAAATAGAAACCACTAGACGAGAAATAGACGAATTACCAGCGAGGAATGGTATTTAAAACTTTCAACCTTGTCAGAGGATTTAATATGTTTCAAAATAAGGATAATGGGTTGATATTGCAAATGTATGAAGTACCTTTGAAGGCAGACTCGAGCACAGGGGCTGGTTTGGGGGCCAGCAAGATGCGTCGAGCATACTTGTTGAGGGCACCGCTCTTCTCGCTGGGCACTATCAGCTGTCTTATGAAGCGCGTTCGGTCTCGGATATCGTAGTTCTGGTCGTATTTGCCGAGGTTCAGGATGTACTGGGTCAGCAGCTTGGTCTGGGGCGTGAGGAGATTGGAAGACGGAAGTAAGATGACATGTAAGACAGAAGGCAATTAGGATTTAGATAAAGGCAAGCATTTGGGAGTAATGGTTGGTGGTGTGAAGGATGTTTAATAAAACAAACTGATTTACAAGCAAAAGGAAAACTCTTCAAAATGAATAGATCAACATTTTAGGAAATACACTGATTTGTTTTCTCGCAGAGAGACGATCTTAACAACTCTCATGTCTGTATGCCAAGTATAGAGCTGGAATCTTGTAATTCCTGGAAGTCAATGTCTCCGGTAGCTGTTTGCCAACAAATACAGAAGCTACAGCACATAATTCTCTTGTGAAACCACATTTTTACATTACTGCTTGTTCTGATTAAACAAATAAGATCTTAATTATAGAGCTCTAGAGGTGCTGGATGGAGCCTGCCTGTTTTCAGTCTTTATGCTAAGCTAAGCTAACTGCCATCTGGCTTCAACTCAGATACATAAAAGTGGCATCAATCTTCTCATCTAAATATTGGCAAGAAAGATAATTGGTGTACTTTTCCTTTAACAATCGCTTAAAACTAGAATATAGCCACAGTCTTCACGTAGAAGACACTGAACAGAGTAAGAATTGCTATTTACGACTGCTCCTTAACGACTAATCAGCAGATCTTCTTCAATATCGTCCTCCAGCGTCCTCTGATGCAAAACAGGGAGAAAGAGCACTTGCACTCACATTTTATTTAGGCAAAAAACAAAATTACTGCTGCCACGAAGCAAGCATTATAACCCAAATCCTTTTCTACATTGCCTTTGTCTCTCCCTCTCTCCTTCTCCACCCTCCCTGAGACATTATGAGGAGCAAGAGGTGTAATGATGTGCTCGTTTGAGGAGGCAGCGTCTGGGCTCATAAACCCAGCTCTGAGTCCAAAATCACCCCATCTAACTGAATGGGCCTGTAGACACCAAGCCGCGCTAGGAGATGCTCCATTACGTTAAAGCCGTCTCTGTATTTAAAGCTCTATATTTAAACTGAGCCCAGAGTTCAATTACTGCAAGACAAAGCTGTGTCTTGTGAAATAAAACGCTTAAAAGAATAATTCATGGGCCCACATCTAGATGACAGGAATCTGATATATCTCTTTTTTAATACTTACTTATGTATATGCCAATTTCAGAAATCAGTAGCGTTAATCCAGCACCATATTTGCTCCATGTTCAGTTTCAACTAAATAAATGTCTCTTGGCTCTGATTTATTCTGTTTTGTACCTGCTTGGAGTTGGTCAGGTAGAGTTTGGCAGCTAGGTTGACAATCTGCAGCTTCACAATGTCCTCCTCTGCTGTGAAAGTCTTTGCCATCTTACGGAGAACATCAGGTGCAATTTTTGGCACCCTCTCACAGTACTCTCCCATCAGCCACAGGATGCTGGCTCGAGCCATGGGGACCTGCAAGTTTGACAAATCAGAGAGAAAGAGCGATAGTTAGTCAGTGCAGACACTTTGTTCCTGTTTAAACGTTTAACTTTAGACAAAGAAGCAACAGTACTAATAATACAATGGCGAATCTTACAGTGATGTTGTCGAAGAGTTTGGCCATGTGTTTGATGATCTCACTGTGCTGGGTGGGCTGAGTCTGAAGCAACTTCTTTATCACCACCACGCTCTCAGCCACCACGGTCTCTGCAAAGACAATACAGCAAGTATTATTAAACCAGACAGTCACAACAGCACATTAATATACTGAGCAAGGTAAGCAGTGTATGACAAGAGGTCACGGCAGGTATCTGGAGGCAATGATTTTACCGTCTCTGTTGGAAAGCAGCAGCACCAGACCGTTGAGACACGTGTCTGTCACCTCAGAGATGTTGGTGGCACACCTGCCGATGGCCTGAATGGTGGCCGCCGCAAACGCCTTGTCCTGACTCTTCACATAGGTCTGAAAAAAAGTAAAAGACAAGTACAGCGAAGAGAAGAAACTGTCACCAGGAAGTGTAATCTCAAAGAAGATACTAATCCTTGACTGTTGATGTAGAGAAATAAAACACAGACCTGAAATTCCCTCAGAATAGTGGAGATGTTGGCTTCATTGGCCAGGTTGGTCAGGATCTCCAACTACAAAAAAAAAGGGAGAAGTTGGTTGGTTGAAGTGTGCACTCAAATATTGGTCAATAGGATCTTAAGCTTGTGAAATAGTGTTCAGAAACAATTTTCCAGCCTCTGGTTGTGCAGTAAATCACCTTTTATAAACCTGTGAACAAAACTGAGAAATGTATTTGCTATGTAAAGATATAGAAGTGGTGTCCTGAGCTGAGAACGACTTCACTCTGAATAGAATAAACAATCTAAGCCTGTCAGTGACAAAAACAAGCACTTTTAGTGGACGTACTTTGACGAATGGGCACATTTGTCCCCAAGGATTAACATTTACACTTGCGTTGCGGCCATTGCAGCCTTTTTCATGAGTATTTTTGCATCTAACTCAGTGAATTAAGGATTTATTTCACCCTAACCAGTGTTGGTGATTATTGGAAAAGACTTGCTCCAGTGGCACTTCTAGTGATAAGTGAATTTTGTACATATAAGCTATATTTGTAAATGCGAAGAAAATATTTGTAGTTGTGGAAAATAACATGAGAATATGTGAATAAAACTTGTCATTTTGGAATTCTTTCATACACACACAGTCTGATTTTCATGTTTTCTATCCTGAATCTGTACTCAGATGTTTATAAAAGTGGTTCTTACCATATATATATAATTTGTGTATTTTATTCTACCACAACCAATCTTTACATATTCACAAACCTGGGCTTCTCCTGCAAATGTCCACAGGTTTAAAAAGGGATAGTACACAACCACAAGCTCAGAATCTTATTTGAGCCCATATTGTGGTAAAGTATGGACACAATGCACAACATAAACTGGTAGTTACCTTCAGTGTTTTGATATGTGTGGCATCTGTAGATCTCACATAGAAACTCTTCATGAAGGGCTCAAACATCCCCTGTTTGTTTGGAGATAATTCACGTTATCAAAACAGCCTCTGTCAATGCAAGACACCATTATTGTTGTGCTGTCCACACGCAGACTCACCTTCCTCTGAATGGACATTGTGGCTATATTCTGAAGCACAATGTACTGCACCTCTCTGTGCAAAAGAGACAGGAAATAACATATTCAGACATCAACAACAGCTGACTCAGGGGCAGGCAAACAGGGAGATCTAACATGTTTTGTTTTTTTGCATTACCTGTGGCTTCTTAGTAGTCGGACAAGTGACTTGGTGACAATGTTGACTTCATGTTTAGGGGCTAAATGCCAATAGAGCTGAGCGACAGACATCACCACCTAAAACACATCAAAACGCAGTCAGAAATTACATGGTATTAAATATCTCTGCCATTCAATCTTTCTTAAAACATTTTACACACTGGCTTCTGGGAAAACCCTTTGATTTTTCTTGCTTTTTATTATTTTGTTTTATGTTTGTTCACTTTCCAGAACGTGCCATCCACTTATCTCTAACTCAATGTGTTACTTTTCCTTGATTTTATGTTTATAACCCCCCCCCC